AGGTGAAAGTTCACAGTACACACCCCAAAATCTTTAGATTTATTGGTGTAACTTATTAAAGTATGTCTGATAAATCAAAATATATTCATTTTCTTTCTTTAAATAAAAAACTGAAGCACACCTTATGTCGACACAGCTTCTGATAACCAATTTACAGCACATTTTCCCCAAACGTATTCCAAAATAAATCACGTAAAAAGAAATCCCACCAGTGATGGTTTGTAGTTCTGCCTCTAGGCTTTCTACTCATGTGTGCTTTTTATTATTTCAGATGGTAAATATCCTCACCACATTTCCACCAGGGCACATGTCGTTCCATGTTATTCTACTGTATTGATGGAATCATTTTTCAAGTGGATGACTTGAATCATTTCTTACTGTGATAACAATGTGAAGATTACAAAGCAACACTTTCCAAAGGACGAGGAGACAAATAATTCAGCTGCAGGATAGCCAAAAGCTGTATTTCCTAGAGCTCATAATATCTTGTCGAAACACACGAGCAGTGTGGCGCTGAAGTTAGCTGATTTAGTGGCATAGACTTGTAGGCCTCAACATCTCCTTTGGCTCAGTGCCGCTTCCGTGTCTCACATCATTCAAACCTGGGTGTGGAGCCAGTTTTTCACAGCTTTGGTTCTTATCCAAAGCAGTTGGAGCAGCTGTGTTTAGACAGACAGGAATTCTCCGAGCATTCGGTGTGCTGAAAAATCGGCGGATAGTACTGTAAATGACGTCTCTTTGTCCATTAAGCAAATCCCAGAAAGTGGCTTGGATCACATGGTGGCTACGAATGTGTTCAGCCACATAAATCTTGGATTGTTCCAGCACTGAAAATGCAAAGTATGTAAATACGACAGCAGTCGCTGTGTGACCCAAGTTTTAACAAAACAAAGTAACAATACAAAACGTTCTGTAGCTTCTAGAAGTGTTGCTGCTTTTCATATATGACTGTATATGTAATATGTTTTGGTTTTGAGCTGTTGATGCAGCAAAACATATTGTTAAAGATGTCAATGTAAGTTCTTGGACACTGTGATTGATATTTTGCTCTGTTTTCTAACATATAATGAACAAAATGATACAGGAGTGACAAAGAATGGACTGAGTAGTGACTGGAAAAACACACATAGACGTCAAACTGATTAATGTGTTGTGTACTTTTACTTCAGACTACATTGTGTCTTGACTCTGGCAACTTGAGTGTAAATGTCCTGAGCAGCGAGGCCACGGTTTGATTCCCGACTAGCCCACCCATTGTTATTCCTCTATTCTCTCTCCCATATTTTCTGTCTTTCTCCATTGCCACCATCCAGTAAACACCACCAAAAAAACTGTCCCCCCAAAATAATATTTANATTCTACAACTCTGACATACAGCAGAACAAAGCTTAAACAATCTTGTACACAGTCCTAAACTAGTTTAGTGATATTCAATTGTGTAAGCTTAGCAGTCACATTTCATTTACATCCAAATGCCTCATTCAACATCATCACCCTGCATTCACGCCTTTCAGACGCTGTCCTCCAATCACACTCTAATTAGCATCCAGCCCCATTAAACAATGCTGGGACATTCCCCTGGCAAATGCCCCATCTCCACAGCTGTACACATGACCGTTGTGATGTAGAAATACATGTCTTGGCTGCACATGCCCCTTCTTGGAAAAACAACACCTTTGTTACCTCTTGAAACTAAAACACTACCTTGCCATCATAGCTATGTTTCACATGAACAACTTCACTTTGTAAAAGTTGCCCACACAAACTACAATATATGTGTGTTCCTAGCAACACTTATAACTCCATGTCATCTTTACACCACATTTATTTCAATGAAATCTACACTTATTGTCGTAATACATTGTGACAAAATAATGGCTTAAACCACACAGCTTCACCATTTCTGTATTAACATTGCTGCATGTAGAGCTGTGTGCTGCAGCTCTTATTGCAAATGATCATCACTATTGATTCAAACATGTATACATACACGCTGTACTTGATAACACAGAGATCTGTACTTTAATTTTGCAACACAAAAAATCTTACTTTCATTCATTCATTACTTGCATGCTGATTTTGATGTTCAGTTATGTATGCTTGACAGTCACATGGCCACATGCCATTTACATCCAAATGCCCCACTTAAACATCATCACCCTGCAGTCAAACCTTTCACAAATTATCCTCCAATCACATTCTAATTAGCATCCATCCCCATTACACAATGCTGTGCAAAAGTCTGACAACATGGAAATTCTAACCCTTGAAATTGGTTAAAACACTATAAAACACCATAATACAAGCCATGATAAATAACTGCCCTGTATGTGCTCCGATCAGCCTAAATCTTTACACGCACGCTCTGACTCTCAGCCAGAGTGCGTTTCCACCACAGCCAACATACACGCCGCCGCACCTCACCACCAAACAGGAAGTGGCTCGTAACGAGCCCGCACGTGCTCCGATCTGCCTCAAACTCGACAATCCAAATCAGAGCCCCGACCAGAACACGTTTGCGCCACACCCCAACGTGCGCGAAGACTGACAAGCGTAGGGCGAGGACCCGTCCATCGCTGCTCGTGGCTTTAATTATTATTTAGTATTTTTATTTAGCACCTAGTATTCCAAACATGTATTCTTTAAATGTTTGTCCTATTTTCCTCATTATGTATTCTTGTCCTCTTCTTACAACAAGTGTTTTATTGATTTCTGTGTTCCAAATTCTGATCAGATACATTTTATTAATCCCTCAGCAAAGAAATGTATATGTTACAGAAATAAATTATAAACTAAAGATGCAATAAAGACTTGCAGATAGGACATGATGAATAATGTACCCAAATCATCGGACACACGTTATTTATGTTCATATAATCATATATCAACAATTTCCCTGAGGTTTGCGCCAACGGGATCAATAAAGTTCTATTCTATTCTATTCTATTCTATATAAATATCTGTATTAATTTAATGCTACTTTTTTTGGTCCTTTTTTGTGATTACTTATTGAGATTTTTTCCCCCTTGATGAATGACAATGTGCTTTACTCGTTTTGTAATATATTTGTTGCATTTTCATTAATGTTTTGGCAACATTGTCAATAAATCTGTGGTAGCGTTCCTATTTAGCTGTAAGAGCCTGTTGCTGAGGAAGCTGCTTAAGGCCTCTACAGGTCCCTGGACTCCTGCCATGTTTGATTTTTTATTATTATTATTTGCTCATTTATGATGGTTTTAAACACTGATTTGCTTGATGAGATCTTAAGTCCCTTGTTTGTGGCTTCAGCGAGTGCTAAGTTAA